GTTATTGTGGATTGGTAATTCTGAATTTTTAGCAATGCATTAGGCATTAATATCATTTTTTGGTGTTGTAATGCTTGTTTCGGAGAGAATATAACTGTATCAGCTGTAGAAAAATGATGACGTAAATGTTTTCGGTTACAAAAAAAGCTTAATAGTAAACATACCATTCCTTCCTATTGGAGATGTCGATGAAGGTACTATATCGCTCAGTGGAGGTATAGAATCATCAGCCGTTGATGATATTTTGCCCGTTTGTTTACCTGTAAATTTTGTTTCTTTTTTTCGTGAATATACAGAATTATCATCATTTCCGCTAGCATTTTCTTCATGTTGAGCTATTGGATGTTCACACTGATTTTCGGGGATAACAAATTCTTCACTGTCAGCCTCTTTGGCAAATCTCGAGGGTAATTCTTCCATTTCTTCTTTTGAACCTAAAATAAAAACGACCACAGACCACGCAGTTAGAACGGCTATGTTAAAAACAGTGCTTGTGACTCCTCTTTTGCCTCTGTTGGGCTATGTGCGAATTATTAAGGCAAGAGGCTCGTTGATAGTAAGCTTTTGAAGCTCTTGAGTATTTTAGAACATATATTAAATACATAGAGATGTTCTGCCCAGAAAAATTTCTGTTCTAGTGAATTACACAAAACAATAACTTACCCGTATTGATGACCAATAATTGTTTTCGACTACCGTAGGCTTTGATATTACCGGCAACACGACCCGGCGGACTCAATTGATCAGTATTAATTAATGTATTCTTGATAATCGAGTGTTTTCTTAAAGAAGGGAACGAGACTAAAGCATAATCAGCATATTTGGAGGTGGTTCCAGCCGTTGCTCGTTTTGGACGTTGTGAAAGTGCCATTTTATATCTACAATATACGAGAAAAAGACGTGTGTATAGGAAATCAGCCGAGATTAGATGAATGTCCAGTAGCCCAAATATTTCTTCAGCCGATTTTTACTGACTATAGGAAAGGTAGGATGGTGAGAAGTTCAACCAAAAAAAAA